AAAGAAAGAAAGAAAGAAAGAAAGAAAGAAAGAAAGAAAGGAAGGAAGAAGAAAAAGAAAGAAAATAAAATGAAAGAAAGAAAGAAGAAAATATATAAACAAAAGAAAATTAAAAAAAGAGAATGAAAGAAACAAAGAAGGAAAATGAAAGAAGAAAATAAATGAAAGAAAATGAAAGAAAGAAGGAAGGAAAGGAATTAAAGAAAGAAAAAGAAAAGAAAGAGAAAGAAGGAGGGAGGGAAGGAAGAAAAAGGAAGGAAGGGAGAAAAGGAAGAAGGGAAGGAAGGAAGGAAATACAGAATAGAAAGAGTTGGAAGGGTCCTTGCAGAATAATAAAGCTGGAAGGAAGGAAGGATGGACGGAAGGGAGGAAGGGAGAAAAGGAAAAAGGGAAGGAGGGAAGAAAAAGGGAGGAAGGGAGAAAGGGATAAAGGGAAGGGAAGGAAGGAAGGAAGAAAAAGGAAGGAAGGAAATATGGAATAAAAGAGTTGGAAGTGTCAGAGAATAACTGAGCTGGAAGGAAGGAAGGAAGGAAGGAAGGAAATACAGAATAAAAGTTGGAACAGTCCTTGCAGAATAATAAAGCTGGAAGGAAGGAAGGAAGGAAGGGAGAAAAGGAAAAAGGGAAGGAAGGAAGAAAAAGGAAGGAAGGGAGAAAAGGATAAAGGGAAGGGAAGGAAGGAAGGAAGAAAAAGGAAGGAAGGAAATATGGAATAAAAGAGTTGGAAGTGTCAGAGAATAACTGAGCTAAAAGGAAGGAGGGAAGGAAGGAAGGAAGGAAGGAAGGAAGTACAGAATAAGAGTTGGAAGGGTCCTTGCAGAATAATAAATCTGGAAGGAAGGAAGGAAGGACGGATGGAAGGAAGGAAGAAAAGGAAAAATCGAGGGCAAACAGAAGCCTCTGCTTCTTAGGCATGGATCCACCTGTTGAACTCCCACCCGGCATGTGTGGAGCTGTGGCTGCACCAGTTGGACTCCTACCTGGGTAACCCTTTTTAAAAAACTCCCTCTCTCTAGCTGGCAACCCCTGTGCCATCAACAACGGAGGCTGCGAACACGACTGCGTGCAGCTGACCTTCTCCCACCACCGATGCCAATGCCGGCCGAATTACCAGCTGAAAGAGGACGGCAAGCACTGCGTGGGTGAGTCTCCCCCCCCCCAGAAAACTCTGGGAAGCCCCCCAAAAACCTAATAATAATAAAACAATATACGGGTCAATGTTACACAGTTGCTTGGTTTTGCAAAGCCCTCATTCTTTTTAGATTTATAGTCGTTCCCCCTCTGCCGGATAGACCGAGACTAAATCACTGCAGTGCATTGAGGACTAGAATGATGAAGGCAAATATTTAAAGCGAACGAGCTGGTGCTCCCTTCTCGCTCGTTCTTGGTGTCCTTTTGCTAAGATCTCTGCACAGTCTAGTATTTTTTTTTTTTAATGACATGTTTCTCTTCGTTTTTCCACTGCGAACGCAATGTGTAAAATTAAACATGGGCTCCCTTTTGTTGCAAGGAATTGGCCCCACACTTTTCTCTCCTCCGAGTTCCTTGTGAGGGAAGCTACACAAACGCACCCAAACCGCTACACACAAACACGCAGAGAGGTACGCACACCCAGTTCTACAAAAGGGTTGCAAATCGTCCCAAATGTGCAAGAGGATGGAGAAAAGAAGATTGCAAAATCGGACAGTGCAGTTGAGTCGAATGGTTTGCAATAAACAAACCATGGTTTAGCACACTTAGGGATTCTGCTTCGGGCCTGGCTCCTGCCTGTTAAGCCACCAAACCTGGCTTGTTTAATTGGGAGGGGCGTGGCAGGGCAGGGCGCGCTCAGGGAGGGACCCTCGTTTAGAGTTAAACCAGGGTTAAATCCAAGTATTGCAGCTAATGGCTAATTCCCCCTGCCTCCCAGTGAAGAATCCATGCGCGACCCACAACGGAGCCTGCATGCACAAATGCCACAACCACAACGGGCTGGCGCGTTGCGAATGCCACCCGGGCTACCGACTGGCGCCGGATCGTAAAACCTGCCAAGGTAAGGAAGTGCCACGTTTCACGCTTCACCCCTGGCGCACGTCTTCAGCCGCCACTCTGTGAGCCCACCCGAATCACCGTTATGGATTGTTGTGGTGAGCCTCACTCAAAACAATGGGTGATGGCCGGCACTTAAGGACTGTTTCCCTTTCATTCCTTGATTACGATACTGCTGCAAAATATAATATTTTCTTATATACGTATTTAAAGATATAGGTGTATATAAGAATTATATGTACATTATATTGTACAGAAATATAACTATATATTTATATCTCTATC